TCTGATTTTTATATTTTTTTTAAATCTATCTTATTTTTAGCTGTAAAATCAGTCTCTGTCTTGGCTGCTTATTATATTCTAGTATTATATATTTTAATAGATTTATACTCTATTATTTTTTTTAATTACTAGAGTTAGTTATAAAAGCTTTTTCTAGAATATTTCTAAATTCTTATTTAATAGAATCTCTTTAAAAATTATCTTTTTACTACTTAGCTTATTTATTTATAACAGATTATATATCTGTATAAGAATATTCTTTAAAATTTATATTATTATATTTATAATATTCTTAGAAAGATTCTTTTAAAAAAATACTCTTTTCTATCTATATATATTTTCTGATTTTATATTATAAATAAAATATATAAGATGTTTATTAAAATTTTATCTGATTTTTTTAATATAATAACAGCTATATTTTATAATATTCTATATTTTTTTTTTAATTATTAGCTTCTAAATCTAAATCAGTCCGGCTCTGCGCTTCTGCTTAGTAGTCAGATTTTTTATTAGATAATCTTAAAGTTCTAGCCAGTATAATTTAATTAAGTCTAATATTAATTACTCTTTTTAATTATTTTTAAAATTAAGTTTCAGTAACTTCAGTAGTTTTTTTTTATTTTTTTTAATTAGCTTCTATTAGAGTGGCTTAACCTGACCGTTATACCTTAACCTTAACCTGGCCATAACCTGGCGGTCAGGTTAAGGTATAAAAAATTTTTAACCGTACGGTTAAGGTCAGGTTAAGGTACAACCGTCACTATAACCGTTTATACCTGCCGGTCAGGAAGGTCAGGTATAGCAGGTAGGTTAATAACCGCAGGTTAATTCGTAATATATACATCCTTCTTACATAGATAATATACAAAGTGTAATATATATTTAATTACAGTATAGACATAGTAATATTCTTTAGATATAGCCTACTGCTCGACCTGCTCAACCGGTCGCCTTAAGAGGTATACTACACTCTGGAAAAGGCTTTTACAGAACCTAGTATAGAAGAAATAAGAAAAGATACAGAATATTTATTCTTTATACTGTCCGGGACGGTGATCATGATGGCGTAGGAATTGTAAAGGCCGGGTCTCTATCTCTACCTGAGTACGTGTGATAGTCGAAGACTCAGGTAAGGCTAGTTCTCCTAATTCTGATAATAACCCATCCTCTGGGTCATCTTCAAGATCATCTATATCCTCATTCTCACTAATATAGAAGGTAGTAATCACCTCATCCTCCTCTTGCTCCTTGGGTGTAAAGATGATCGAATCTGGATTGAGATCATCAAGCATATCCTGATACTCCTCACTTATAGTAAAACAATCGATACACATTTGAAGCATAACTGCTTCAATTATATCAGGATCGAGACGGCTCCGGCGATAGTGGCAGATATCTCGAGAACTGTTGAAAAGACGTTCAACACTGACACCATTGGTTGCGACCGAGAGGAAATCTCTAGCTATCTGGTAGAGAATAGGAAACTGATCACGGCGGGACTTCCAGTAAGCAAGAATATCAGTATGCCCTGTAGTACCTGGAATCGTATTAGTTCGATCGAAGATGTCTTAAGAAGCTACATACCTTCAATATCTAGATATGCCTTAAGTTCTTCGCACGTCTCGACGAGAGCTGGATATGGGACAATCTTCCGATTCTTCGCGACGCGTGTAATCTCGAGATTTGGGGGAGGAGGAAAGATCTGACTTGAGAAGCTTATCTCAGTTTGGGCATTATCATGGTTTGTAAAGGTCTGAGAAACGGAAGAAGAAGGCTCGATAGTATTCTCTGAAAATAAACCAGATGACTGCAATTGACTCATGATTCTGAAGCTGTTCTGCAAATAATAGATATAGAAAGATAGAAGCAGAAAACTCTGCAAAGGCAGTTTGTTTTGCTTCAAGACACGACTTCGCGTAAATGTGATCTATCATATTTTAACATGCAGCTGAGGCGCCCGCCGTATCTTATTCATTTCAGTAGGCCTAGCAACCAGGAATTCATATCTGGAGCCCAGAGTTATAGAATAGTCCCTTCTCTTAAACAGAGCTGCTTAAGGCATAATAGACTAGGGTAGAAAGTAGATATTCATAGGAGAGGTCTGCAAAAGGCTTTTACAGGATCTTCTATAAGAGCTGTAGTATCACAGTGCAGACCTAGTGTACCCTGTTTACCTGTTCTACCCGTTCGACCTGTTTGACCTGTTTGACCTGTTTGACCTGTTTGACCCGCTCTACCCCAACAACCCGACTGTCCGCAACCTCCTTAACTGCCTGCCAGTTCCTGATCCTGTTGGTAGCTCTTCGAGCTACATCTTGTCTATGAACCTGAGGATAGCCTGACCCAGGGGAAATAGTAGAATAGAAGCAGTATATTTATTCCCAGTATTCTAATTAGTAGTTAATATATGGTTTTTCTAGTGTTCTATGATATGATTAAGGTGTACGGCTAAAACGGAGCGGTAATTATATATCTTTACACATGTTTCTCGCTGTAAGAACAATAATTTTATAAAAAGCTGAATTTTATCAACACAACTAGGATTTCCTTATTATTTCCGATGAATAGTGATAAAGAAGATACTAATTTCTTTCTCAGTTATATTTTTTTAATCTAAAAAGCTTCTTTTTATATACTTTTAGGCGACGGTGAAGATGGCCAGGTTAATAACCGTTTAACCTGGGTATACCTTAACCGTGCTAGAGCTTAAAAAGGTATAGCGGGTAGGTCTTGGCGCCAAGAACGGTTAAGACGGTTAACCGCCCGGTTTTTAGCTATACCGCGGTCAGGTATAAAAATTTCCTTAACCTGACCATAACCTGGCGGTTAGGTATAAAAATTCCAATTAACCTGACCTGACCTGGCCGTTAGCCACTCTAGCTTCTATACTGCTATTATCTCTGCTGTATTATTATTTATAAAAAAGAATTCTAAGCTATATTTATTATCTATTTTTTCTATATTAATATTATTTTTTTATATTATCTGCAAAAGTATTTCAGCTTATCTCTTAATTAATAAATAATTATTTCTTTAAGTATTTTAGATATTTCTGCTATTTTAATACTAATAGTCTTCTTTATAATAGTCTAGTTATAAAGAAGAAGTATAAAGAAGAGAGATAGTAAAAAATTAAGAAAGAGAGAGAAAGAAAGTAATAGAAATAACTTAAGAGAATAATATAGAAAAGAGAAAGAGTGAGAAAATAAGAAGAAAGAAAGATATAATATATATAAGAAGAGAGTGAAATAATAGTAAATTAATAGTAAATTAATAATAAATTAATAATAAAATAACAGTAATTCAGTAAATAATCTGTGAAGAACTTATTTATTATAAAAAAAAAAAATAGTAATATAATTATTTATAGATAGATTAAAAATAGAAAAGTAATAAGCTTTTAATAATAATAAATAATTATAAAATAAGCTTTAAACAGTTACTTTCTTGTTGTTTTCTTAAATATAGTTTTAAAATAGTATAATAACTATTATATACAGTATAATAGAGATGCTTATTATTTATTTTAATCAGTAATTATTAAGAACTGTTATACAACTGATCACAACTAGCCATAACTGGCCACAACTGGCCACAACTGGCCACAACCTCGCGGTAACTTCCGCCAGCGGCCTACTATGAACAAATCCGTGCCATACTCACTTCTCACGGATAGCCGAAATCACTCCGCAATATGAGGTTCGCTATTTACCACAGAACATGAAATACTTTATAGTCCGAAGCGTTTGTTCTGGCTTAGGATGGATGTGAGCGGTCCATGGGATCCCATACAGCTATCACTGGGCCTGACTCCAGTCCAGTAGTGGTAGTGTGGAGAACTCAGCTAGAATCTGGGACTATGCCTCCTGGATCACATGGATAACAAGTTAGGTACACATTCATGGATACCGTTGGCGAAGCAGGTCAGGTGGAAAGCTTGACCCCGGAACAAGTCCAGCAGAGGTGAAGCTCAGTTCGCTTCGTACACCAGCCTTCGTCCCCGGGCAATTGGCAATATTGACTATCTCGAAGGCGTTTAAGCCCCTTCAGAATTCTATCATTCTCTCCAAATTGAAGACCAGGTTTCTAGCTCCTATTGCCTCCTCCCACCCCCTTGAAGAACGGAAGCCTGGCCGGAATGAGACCGGCAGGTTACATGCTAGTCGGTCACGCAATCCAATCCTTCACGACGGCCATCTCCGAACAATCTAGTACTAGATAGTAGTGTAGTCAAGATAGGAAAAAAATAGACTTCCGCAATGGTGTTCCTGGCAGTGGTTCTGACCCGCATGTAAGCGTAGCAGAATGACCACTATCGCAACCACCCCCCGTGGCAATTGGCCAGGTTCCAAGCCTCAGAACTCGGCCAAGCCGTTGTGAGCCTGTGACACCTCCGGGTCTGTGGGGACGACACCCCCGCGAGCGAGCGCGTGGTTGTCTGAATTCTGGACCCTGGGACTGAAAGGGCCAGCAGACGGAGCAGGCCTCCGACGGGCAGCCATTGGTGCCCCCTCGCAGCCAAGGCGTAGGGTTGCACTCGAGGCTGCCCGCCAAGGCGTCCGTCCCGCCAGTGCGAGGCCCTCCTCTCCCCCGCCAAGCCAGCCGCCCTGGTGCCTACCAATCCGCTCGTCAGGTAGGTCTTATCGGGACTGTCTGGAGGCAGGGTCTTGCCTGATGGTATGCTCGATATCATGTCCGGGGGCGTGGCAGTGGGGTGCGACGACACTCAACCACCGCTTTCGTCGTCGCACAAGAATTGCTAGGATCAGACGGCGATGTCACCATCGATGCTTCCTTCCATGATTGGCAACCACTCCCTATTCCCCGGCGCAAAAGCACAGATTCACCACGTCTGGCTTCTGCTGTCTGCTGTCCTACCTGACTGTCTTAAAGCTGGCCACCTCCCGCGACCCTTCCCGCCACTGCTTCCTCACTTCTCTTGCCGTCCATTTCACACATTTACCCTCACCGTCTCTTCGTTTGCTGCGGCTACAAAGATGAACGTCTCCGATCCCGCGGACATCGCGGAGATCGCCAAGTCTACGGCCTTTGCGCACGATGCCCAGGTGGGTGAGAAGAAGGATCGCGTCTCTACGGACATGCGTCACGCCGACCCGTCCGAGATCCAGGAGGTGCGCGCAGCCACCGAAAAGGAGGTCGTAGGCTCTTCGTCCGTCCCTTATGAGGACGAGACTCTGCACAAAACCTTCCCCACTCCCGATGAACTCCAGACTCTGCGTCGCGTGGCTGGCAAGGTGCCCTGGACTGCTTACACTGTCGCGTTTGTGGAGCTGTGCGAGCGATTCTCCTACTACGGCACAACGGCAGTCTGTAGGTGTCACTGCGATGTTGACTCGGATGATCGCTGAATTTGATAGTTGTCAACTTCCTTCAGCGTCCCCTTCCTCCAGGTTCCAATGCTGGTGAGACTCATGGCCGGGACAACTTGGTCCCAGGAGCTCTGGGCATGGGCCAGCAGGCGTCGACTGGACTGACCTTGTGTAAGCCACCTTCCCACCTTGCGAGACTAAGCTGACCATCAGTCAACTCCTTCTGGTCCTATATCATGCCTCTCATGGGCGCCTATATGGCGGACCAGTACTGGGGTCGTTTCCGCACAATCATGTTCTCTATCGGTGTCGCCCTGCTCGGGCATATCATCCTCGTCATCTCGGCTATTCCGCCGGTCATTCATAATCCTCACGGGGCCATCGGATGCTTCTCCATTGGGCTGGTCATTATGGGTGTGGGAACGGGGGGTTTCAAGTAAGATCTCCGCGGGGGTTTTCTTCGCTGTGTCTGATAGGAATAGATCGAACATTTCGCCCCTGATCGCGGAGCAATATCGGGATGAACAACCATTCATCAAAACCCTCCCTTCCGGTGAACGTGTCATTGTCGAACATGCTGCGACAGTTTCACGCATCTACCTGTACTTCTATATGATGATAAATATTGGCTCGATCCTTGGACAGGTCAGTATGGTGTATGCCGAGCGTTACGTCGGCTTCTGGTTGTCGTTTCTTCTGCCCACTATCATGTATATGTTTTGTCCGACCGTCCTGTTCCTGTGCCACAACAAGTATCATCTGGTCAAACCGACTGGGTCCGTGTACTTGCAGGCCATGCGCCTGTGGCGGCTAGCCATGAAGGGGCGTTGGTCTCTGAACCCGGCAAAGATGTAGGTAGCCTGCCGTGACTTTTAGCGGAGATCCTGACAGTTGCAGATTCATAAAGAACCCAACGCCCTTCTGGGAACCAGTCAAGCCCAGTGTATTGGGAGCGAATCGACCGGAGTGGATGACCTTTGATGACGAATGGGTGGATGAAGTTGCGCGTGGTCTGAAAGCGTGCAGGGTGTTTCTGTGGTACCCTCTGTATTGTGAGCATTCCTACCTTTGTATCACGGGTGAAATCTAACGATCCAGGGCTTGCGTACAACCAAATGTTGAACAATCTTACCTCCCAGGCAGCTACTATGCAGCTGGGCGGTGTTCCCAACGATATCATTAACAATCTTAATCCGCTATCGCTAATCATATTTATCCCGATCATGGACCAACTGGTATACCCCTTTTTGCGCCGAATGGGCATCAAATTCACCCCCCTGAAGCGGATCACAGCTGGGTTTTTCATAGCCGGGCTGTCCATGATTGCGGCCACCGTCACACAGTACTACGTCTACAAGAAAGGCAGATGCGGCAAGGAAGCCAACTACTGCCTGGACGAGTACAACTCCCACTCACCAATATCTGTCTGGGTGCAGGCCCTGATTTACGTGCTTGGTGGCCTTTCGGAGATCTTCGCGTCTATTACGTCCCTTGAGTATGCCTTTACTAAGGCGCCGCGGAATATGCGGTCTCTCGTGCAGGCCGTGTCGCTGTTTATGAACGCATTCTCATCGGCTATCGGTCAGGCGCTCGTGGGCTTGTCGGCCGATCCGCTGTTGGTTTGGAACTACGCCGTGGTGGCAATCCTGGCATTTGTCGGGGGGATCGGGTTCTGGTTGACGAATTATAAGCTCGATCGCCAGGAGGATGAGCTGAACAATCTGCCCCAGAGCCACTATCAAGGCCGAGGGACTGACGAGGAAGCATCGCGAGGATGAGCTGTGCTGGGATGAATTTCATCTTGTGTACACTGAATTCCACAGATAAGCCTCACTTATTAATAGTCTTAATTCAGCCTCAGGTGGGTTTCTGCTTCTTCTTGGGGGTCTGCTCTTCAGCATCTTCTTCCTCCTCCACTTCATCCTCATCTTCAACATATTCATCCTGATCATCTTCGCCCTCTTCTCCATTCTCCTCTACACTCTCATCCTCGTCTCCACCCCCCCTTTCTTTTCCTCTTCGCCCTTCTTACCCCCCTTAACCCCCCTACTAACCTCCCCCCTCCTCCTCCTCGCCACCCCCGTATTCCCAACAAACTGCCTCCCCTCCCTACCCCCCCTCACCTTCTTCCTCTCCGTCCGCTCCTTCTCCCCCTCACTCATCCCCTCCCACGCCTTCCGCGGTAAATACCTCTTCCTGGTCCCATCTTTCTGGAGCGCTGCCCCGGTCCCCTCCTTCGTCTGCCAGTCCTCTTCGCTCCATTTGGAGAGGTTCTCTTGTGGACTTTTTTGCTCGTCTTTGCTGGTGGTGTAATCCCCGCCACGCGATTTGTAGGTTTGCGCGGTTAGTTGGGCCTGCGATTCCCCCGGATACGGAGGAGGGAGATGGGTTAGTGAGATTGCTTTAGGGGTGGAGGGGTTGATGGGGTGAATGTGGAGGGGGATGGGATGGATGGAGGGAAAATAAAAAAGATGAAGAAGAAACATACCTTCCGCGCAGACCACTGCCCCGGTTTCCCGCCTTTGTCGCTAGCGTGGATCTCCTCTTTGACTTCTTTTCGTAGCTCGGGGTCTGTGTAGGTGGATTCGTTTTGTGATTGCGATTTGGAGGGCATGACGGGTTTTTTTGCCCCAGGGGAGAGGGGGGGGGGTATGGAAGAGGGGTTTTGGATATGTTCTTTTATCCCGGTGTTCAAGGAAGGGGCGGTCTGTAGATTGAAGCTTTTGGGATGTAGTTGGATTGAAGCTCGCGGTTTTAAAGATCGTTAGAAGGATATGACGGTATCCGATGACATCATCTAGGTCTGATCTCATCTTACCCCGGGGATCCTCTATTCTACGGATTGGATGGTATGGAAGCTTAATTAAAGTTGAAGATCACATCACATTTCAAATAATTACCAACGAGTGTGTATTGATGAGACAGCAAGGAAACCAATTAGTGATAGTGGTAGAAAGAAAGCACAACCAAAGCAGGGAATCCGGTATTCATAACACAATCAAACAGTCAACATGGATGGAATAACAGTCGTTACAACTCCTCCTCGGCCTCCACAGCGCTTGGGTGGGTATCAAGAATATCCCAAGACTGCAGATCCAAGTTCAATACGTCGTCGTTGCTCTCGGCCTTGCCAGACCCGAAAGCCTTCAGGTTCCACTTCTCAACTCCCTCGACGCCCTCCAGCGACTTGGGGAACTCCTTGAACACGGACGCGTTCAGCCGGTTGTAGTCCTCGTAGTCGCCGGGCCACTCACCCAGACGCTCCACCGCGAGCTTGAACAGCTGCAGGTGCTGGCGCACCTGGTCGCCCTCGGAGAAGCCGCCGTTGGCGCTGGCCCGCGTCTCAACCTCGTACACCGATCCATCCTGGCTCAGGCTGGCCTCCAGACCGCCCTCGAAGTCGGCATATCCGGGGTCGCAGAACGCCCGCAGGATGCCCTCGTGCACGGCGGCGGACTTCTTGTAGTAGCGGTTGGCCAGCTCCTTGTGTGCCTGCTGGCTCGTGGCAAACTTGGTGTACAGCTGCGTCAACAGGACAGACATCTCCAGGGTGCTGGGGTGCTGAGCTCCGTGCACACGGCGGCAATTGTAAGCAATGTCCTCGGCCAAACGAAGTGCGTCCTTCTGCTTGCCAATGCGGAACCGCGCGATGACGAGACGGTGGCCCAAGGCAAGAGTGTAATGAGGCCAGTTGCGGTGCGCTTCACGGCTGTCCCACAGAGCAGTCAGGATCCACGCCAAGTTGACGTAGTCGCCCTGCTCACCAAGAAGTCCGATCAGCTTGCTAAGCTGCTCAAAGTTGACTCCGCTCATGTCGAGCTTCAGGCCCTTGATGACGGTGAGGGAATCCTTGAGGATGGTGCCCGAGACTTCGATCATCCTCTTCCGGGATGCCTCGTCAGGACGAGCGACAAGGTCACGGCCCGCAATGTTCATACCGAGGTTGAAGATGAACTTGACTATGCCGACGGTGCGGTAGACCTCCTGGTGGGCCTTGATGTAGTGGAACGAGGCCAAGGCCAGGTCGCAGGCGCTGCCCCATCTCTGGCTCTTCAACAGTTGCCCCACGTACTCGTTACTAGTAATACCAATCGAGCGCACAAAGTCGTCCGAGCGGTGGGTGCTGAAGTGGTGCAAGATGGTCTCGGCAAAGATCCTCACCTGTCCGGTCTGGGTCAACTTCACCCGCTTACCCTCGGTGGCGATGAAGTAGTTCACAAAGTCATCAAACACCCGGGTGGCGGCAGTCTGGCGGTTGTTGGTGACCAGGAAACGGTACAGTCGCGCGGTAGATACAGACACCGAGTGGATGGAGCTAGTCTTGGACTTGAGCTGGCCTCTGAATTCTTCAAAGTAGACGTATTCGGTCGTCAGAGCGGCAAGGATCTCCGTGATGGTCGTGGACGAGCTGCGGCGAAGGCTGTACTCGAGTTGCGCCAAGAAGGTGAGGCTCTGGCGCTCCTTGGAGGAGAGGTCGAACTGCACCGACTTGGAGTTGGTAGTGTCCTTCATGACGATCTGGCGGTAGATCTCCTGAGTGAGCTCGGTCGCCTTGGTGATCTGGTTGCTTGCAATGTAGCTGGAAGCAATGGTGGAGGCAGCCGCGATCAACCGGGTCGAAGACGTTTCCGAGGAGAGAATCTGCACAGTCGCCTGCTTGAGCTCCTGCACCACGGTGTCGGTCTCCTTGCGCTCGGTGTAGAAGCTGATCATCTGCTGCATCTTCGAAAGTGATTCTTCGTGGGCCCAGCCGTGGGTCTCCCGAACAGTGTTGATGCGGCTCCTCAGGACCTTGACAGCACGCTCAATCTGGGTGGAAGACACAGTCTCGGACTTGGTGGAAGTCACAATCGCCGCCTGTTCCTCGTAGATGGCTTCCAGGGTGCCGGAGATCTCGTGGAGATCAAGCTCCTCGGACTTGGTCTTAAGCAACTCCTCGTACAGAGTAATCGCCTGGAGCTCGTAGCGCTTGGACTCCTGGCACAGCTTCGCGAGTGTGAGAGTCGCCTGGAGGCTGATTGAAGCGGTTGCACTAAACACGGTCTTGACCGTCTTGTGGTACTCAACGGTGACCTGGTGCAGCACAGAGAACTCGGTGCGAACACTGCGAAGGCAGTGGGTATACCGGGTGAAGATTTCCTGCACGAAGGTCTGGTTCTGCAGCTTGGGGCTCTGCTTAGGCTGGCTGAGAAAGGTGGTGAAAATGATCTTGTAGTAGTGCACAGCATCGGAATAGCGACCCTGGTTCCAGAGTTCGGTCGCAACGATAACCAGAGGCTCGAATGCCTCGGGGTGGCATGTCGGGGATTCCTTGTTCAAGGTGCGAACAATCTGCAGGTAGTAGTCAACAAAGATCGGGCGAGGACGAGTAAGCTTCGCCAGGGTCCACAGAGTCTTGATCACAACAGCATGCTCAGGGCCATAGTGCTTAGTGTAATCATTCAACAGCTCCTGGTGAAGGTTGATGATCTTGTCGTCCTGAGATGTACGCTCAAACAGGCGCAGCAGCTCGTCGGTGATGCGCTCTCTGAGCTTGTCATCGACCTTCCGCTCGGACCGCAGGGCGTGGTAGATTCTGACTCGGATGTCTTCCTCCTTGGTCACACGACGACGAGCGTAGTAGCACCTGCTCAGACGTTCGGCAAGCTGAATGCAGTTCTCCACGTGCTTCTCGGGAAGAGTGACATCTTGCAGGGTCGGGGCGAAAAGGGTCGGCCAGACACCATGAAGTACCTTCTTGATCACCCTAGTCGCATCCTGCCAGCGGTGCTGCTCAACATACAAGCCAATGAGGCTTGAAGTTGCGGCGAAGGACGTCTGGTCGATTGTGGTAATCGAAGTGGAGGCTTCATACACCATTTCCTCCAGGGTTGTCTCCGAGGTAACACTCGTGGACGAGCTGAAGGACTGCATCACCTCCTTGGACGTGGTCTGGATGCTCTCCTGGACCTCCTTGTAGGACGATGTCTGAGTCCGGTTGGTGGACTTGTAGTACTCGGAGCAGCGCTTGAAGACAGTCAGAGCCAGGGTAGACAGGTTCACAGTCTTCATGACCTTGGCAATCTCCTGGAAGTACGCGACAGAGGTCTCGGAAGCAGACATGATAGTCTGCTCATACTCCTGCCAGACACTTGACAGAATCGATGAGGCCTCATATTCCCTCTTCTGCGTCTTCAGGAATTTGGAGTAGGCCAGAACAGAAAGCATCTTCCGCTCTTCCCAGAGGGAGGAGTAGTTCGCGCGGCACTCCCTGCTCACATGCTGCCAGATTTCGACGTAGGTACGTTCCGCGAGCTCAAACTTTCCCTCCCCAGTATACTGCTCGGCCCGCTTCATCAAGGACTCGAATTCGAACAGCTCCGACCGCTCAATCAGCTCGTCGTGCTCCTCTGCCTCCAAGAAGTCGTTGATTCTGGTCCGGATGACCTTGCGGTGCTGGCCGCGAACGCGCACACCCCAATCGCCGTGGAACTCGCGAGACTCCGAGCTCTGCTCGCCAGTGGTAATGATCTTGATGTGCCTGACAATTTCCTCGGCCTTCTGAAACTCCTTGATGGTCTGGTAGTGCTTGACAAGCTGCTCGCGAGTGGTGATCACGGTCTTGTGCGTCTCGCCATAGAGCTTGGTGTAGCAGTCCACCAGAAGCAGAAGAGTCTCCTCCCTCTTAGTCATAATCTCCGTCTTTGTCTCGGTTGTACGAGTCACGGTGAGGTCGAGGAAGAAGGTGGCCAACTGTGCGGTGAAGGAGGGGCTGGTGCTAAGCAGAGTACGACTAAGTGTGGTAGCCTCAAAGAGCAAGGGAATGGACTCGGGGAAGTATTCAACATCGCGATAGAACAGAGCCAAGTTGATAATGGACTGCAGTGTCACACGGTTGTTGGGGGTCAGAAGCTGGCGGTATAGTGTCGAGATCGTGGTCTGCAGAGTCAACAGCTCCGGCGTAGGCCTGTTTGCCCAGACAGTTCTCTGGAGCAGCAGGACCGTGATTGAAGCCGGAAACACCTTACCGAACTCTTTTGCCGCAGCTACTTCACCCTGACTGCTGAAGATGGTCGTTTGTCGGAGGTGCGAAACCCAGTAGCGAATGGCAAAGTCAAGTAGGGGGTACCGGCTTAGAAGCGAGTCGGTCTCGTAACCATTGAGGGGAGCAATTGACGGCTCCTTGCCCTGGGGCTCGGTGACGTTAGACTTGATGTAGATCAACAGCCTAGTTACAAAGTCGGCGTGTCTGTCCTTGATGGTTGGGACGAGCTTTCCCTTGGAGAACACCTCCAGGACGGCAGAGCGAACAAGGCCGTGGCGCAGGTACACCTGGCCGTCCTGAACATACACGAGGGAATTGACAGGCCTCAGGACTCGCAAGGGGTCGGCGTGGTGACCCTCGGTGATTGTAAGCTTGTCCACCTGGATGGAAGACAATGTCTGGATTTCCTTGACCATGAGAGGACGGTCGGCCGTCGCAAGCCAGAGCAACATCAAGCGAGCCTCATCAGTCACGCCCTTCTGCTGCACAGTTTGGAGAACAAAGTCGGCGACGGTCGTCTTATTGCTGATAATGGCATCCAGGGTCTTGTGGATATTTTCGAGGCTGTCTTCGACACGAACGCGCTTGCAGGCGAGCTTAGCCCAGAGAAATGAGCCCTTGGATGCTTCAGTGATGCGCTCGATGATAGGCTCCTGGTCGAAGTCATCTAATTCTGGAAAGACCACGCTCTCCTTGTTCTCGAGGAATTGGCTCCGAACGACCGTAGCAATATCCTCAAAGATTCGCTCGTCAGTGACGGACAAAACAACGTGTCCCGGTGCCGGGGTGGGCTTTTGCGCCCCAAGAGCAATCAGCTTGACGTTGGTTCCCGCGGTTGTGGCCGCCGACAGCTTTTGCAGAAGAACGGATTCACCGCAAGAGGCCTCGTCGACACCATCCACGACGATGACCAGCTCCTTGGCATTCTGCAACGCAGCAACCAGGGCACGCTCCAGCGCATTCCACAGAATATTGTCATAGTCATTGTCATTCGTGGCCTTCTGACTACGCTGAAGTGAGTCGGTCAGGATCTGGAGCAGTTGAACGTTGCCAATGCGCTTCTCGAACAGCTGGGAGAGGACCGCTTTTGTGATGGCGCGGGGGGTAGTTCCAGCGGGAAGTCGGGCGTCTAGTACACTCCATGGTTAGAAATGGCATTGACGGCTAAGATGTGGGCGGTGACACTTACTAATGGGAATGAACAAGGTCTTGTAGTGAACATCGCGGATGGGATGTTGCAGGCTGTCGACAATCACGGAGGCCAGGACAGTTTTACCGGACCCCGGTTTACCCACAATGGACAAGACCTTTTTCTGGCTGGTCAGGAAGTCGAAGAGGTAAGGTTTGACCCAGCGGCAGGTCATTTCCTCCCGGTCGTGGGCGAGATGCGAGACCGTCTCGGCGACATTGGAAAGTACGCGATCTTCAGGTGTGAGCCATGACCTGACGGCCTTGACGTCCCCCACTATACAATAGTCAGTCACTACTCAGCTCGGGAAAGCAGGGTGGGTCTCACGTTTGGTTTCATCGCCGATCTCCTTGAGCTGTTGCTGCCACATGGACTCCGAAATCTCCTCGCAGCATTTGCGGAACCGGTGGATCTCGGTGGGGAACTTTTCGTAGATGTTGATGTACTCCCATTCCTCATCCTCACCCAGACGCGAGACGGTCTGGTGGAAAAGACTCGACACATTGGCGACCAGGTTGACCAGGTCCTCCAGAGCTTGCACCAGCTGCCGCTGGATTTCATTAGTCACACTGAAGAGCTCTGTCCGCTCCAGAAGGTTTCCGAGCGTCGTCGAGGTACTATAGAAAAAGCCGAACGATGTCATCAAGGCGGACGCATTCACGTCGCCCAACTGGACGGATCAGCAGGTTGGACTTGGGCAGGTTGGACTGGAAGGCACCGGAAAACACATACCTTGAGAAGCACAAGACAGTATCCATAGGCCATTTGAAAAGCAAACTCGCTGACATTAGTGAATCCGTGGATGGCCTCTTCGAACCTCTGAAGTCGGCTGATGAAGAGCTGGGCCCAACCAAGAACTTTGTCGTAGCTGCTTCCCTCTGGAGGCACAATGATGGAGCGTTCATCATGAATCCAGGACAGAACCATATCCAATGTGTTACCCGACATTACCATGCCCAGCTCGTCCCCACCCTGACGCTGCAATAGAGACAGCTTCCGGGAGAACTCAATATCTTGTGGGTCGATCCGCCGGGAGGACACCCTCCGGGAGGTGATAGAGCGAGACATGCCATAGTTGGAGCCGGCATCGCTTTCAGCAAAGCCAGAGGTGCGTCTAGGAACCTTGGGGGAGAAGGGGGAGGCGAAGGTGCTTGGAACGGGGGATAGGACGGATGGAGCCATGTTTCGTTTTGGTAGTTCAATGTGCTTTGCCGGTTTAATGTGCTTCGGTGATTCAATGTGTTTTGGTGGGGGGTTGTTCTTCGTTACAGGGGAAGGAACACGAGTGAGTTGTGGCGACTGCTGGGAATATCTGGAGGGTATGACTGTAGGCCGCGGAGGGAGGTCAGGCTCGGCAGTGGTCTCTCCTAGGGAGCAGTGGCGACAACTCACTATGCAACAAAGAAAGCGACGCAAAACGGCGACTTTAACACATGGAAGAATGAAAGGGTATTGATTATTAGGGTAATCCTCGGACAGATCTGGGGGAGAAGCAGTGTCCTGCAGCAGGGGAGGTCACTTATATAAGTGTCAAAACAGCACGGCACAAAGCTAGGGCGATTGACCGGGGGCTGATGCAATGTTGCGGGTTTGCTTGTGAACAAGATTTCCGAGCGGGCAATAGTGGCAAGCTCGTCTCCAGTTCACGATACTATGCAATTCCTCTTGCAGCATAGCGTGGCTGAGAGGGTCCGATTTCTATGGACCCAATCTATCTCCGACCCCTCAGCGGCGGCAAGAGCAGCTGAGAATTCCAAATCAGAGTTCCTTGATGATGTGACCGGTGGAGAGAGGACTGTCAATGGGATTCCACCAGCATGGTGATTGTCTTTGCACCCCCTCTGCAGATCCAGGTCTGGTCTCCATTAGTCCATTGATACCAGCCGCACAGGCATGGACCACGGGATATTCGCCATTGAGCAATGCCGGGCTAATTGGGGGCATTTCCGTGATGCAAGAATGAGCGTATCAAGAACGCAGGAGGTATCCCGGAAGGTACCTCCCAGATCACTGTCCCGTATCCTGACCATGCGGACGGGATGAGAAGTGGAGTAGTGCAGGGCAAGCTGAACAAGCGCGATACCTCTCTCCACATTAGCAGCATTGTCTCGAAACTTTTCTCTCGGGCCCTGCCACTGGATACAGGAGACGTCCGTCCAGAGCTGACCACCCAGGCACCATAGTAAGACTGGCATTTGGAGCCCACATTGGCTCCCAGGTTTCGAGAAAGGAGCTGGCCGTTGCAGGCTAAGGTTGGCCATTCGGAGTCCGCGCTGGACCAGATGAGTAGCAGCGACCTATTCTTGTCGATTCCCTAGTTCCTGCAAGCTCTAGTGAACAGCTAGGATCCCTGCTAGGGCAGGTCTTCAGCCGGTGGCTGCCTGAGAGCAGCGACTCCAGCGAGAGCGTGATCTTCTTGACTTTGCCCGGGGCGGGGGGGCTGGATGGGCCCCATGTCTCCGGTCCGTGGCCAATGACTGTCGGTGCGTGGGTAAACCCGCATCGCCCAGACGAACTGCCGATCGAGGGGGCGGACGGCGATTGGCCAACTCCGCTCGGCTGGCAGGACCAGAACAGGATGATCATCCTGGAAATGAAATTGTCTGTTCGGGTTTTCGGATTTCAGCAGGCAGCTCAGGTCCCACTGGGGGTACGGAGTGCTGTGTAGCGGGATGGTTGCCATCCTCCTCCACCACCCACCCATGCATGCATGCATGGACAGGTTGAATGCTCCGGTTTTTTCTCCAGCGGATTCTTCCTGGGATCCGATCTGATTTCCCCAGGAGAGGCGTGCGTGCGTGCCCCGAGGCATTCTGACTCTGTGGTTGACAGAGAGCCCACGGACTCCCGTGTGAGGAACCGTGCCGGCCCGCTTAGCGTGGTGGATGCGACAGGATCCGGGACCTCCGCAGAAGCAAGCGTTCGATAGCGCCGAGAAGAGGTGGGTGGGTGGCCAGCAGTCAGACTGGCAGGGAGGTCCTCCCCATATTGCAACAAGTTTGGGGGGTTTTTCCAGCTCCTCTTTCTGGCCGCGTAGTCCCCGATGCAGGAGACTGAAACCCGAATTTGCGACCGGCAGGCGTGCTTAGCCAGATTGAGTGAGGCACATTAGTTTGATGGAGCTCGTGGGATGTCGGGACGATGGGTGCATCTGATTTATCCAGGGGGTGCCTCACAGTGGATCTTCATACCTCATTCATGGATCACAATTGAGGTACTGTTACGGACGAAATCCGTCATAAGGCCGGGGGAGATCCGGAGGAGAGAGGATGATCTTTTCGAGGAAGGGTACGGAGTAATGTTGGGCGAAGATAGGAGCAGGCCGCTCACGTGACGCTGGGCTAAGAGGTGTCACGGCAGTATTTAACTCGGCCAAATCCCGGCCAGGCAGGCAGGCAGCCTGTTCGTCTCCTCGGGAATGGGAGGCCCGCGTTTGCCGAGCCCCACGCGAGACAATGTCCTGGCTGGAGGCAACACGGCTCAGATGGAGAGGATAGAGCTGTCCAGTGGTTTGTTCGTCCCTGTGGTTGTTTTGCTGTGTTCCTGAACCACTATCTAGAGGCCACCCACTGGAAGCCGACCATGGAACAATTGCGGGACGGCGGGATCGTGGATTGATCTATCTCGTCCTGCCGCTTGCGGTCTAGCGGCCGGGGTTTCCACCCCATCGGCACCAGAACTCTCAGCTCTACAGCCGCCATCCCCTTCCGACCAGCTATTTTGTCCATCCCCAGCATGAACCATGCTACATACGTCTTCGGAGTATATCCTACTAGGTACGGAGACTAGGTATTGTATGATGATCGGAATGCACTGCGCTGAGGCATACCCGAGATTCTGGCTTGGTCCACAGTGAGTGTTGATCCCTCTGTCAAGATGCAGATATATTTTGCCAGCCACCTCTGGCTCTGTCCCACTCCCACCACGATTGGTTGACATCCATCGTAGCACGGAGGACTTCTCCGCTTCTTCTCCCAGATTCTATTTCCCAAAGACCCATCCAGTTCAAAAGAACCAACTAGATATTGGTAGCACGGAGTACCAACAGGAGAACAGGCTCCACTTGCACGCAGCTGAACTGCACAGAATCGTCGATAATTAACCCGCCCTTCACCTTCCCCACTGGTCCAATTTCAAAATTCCAGCCCGGCAGCTGGGGATGAATGACCTGCTGCAGCTTCTCTCCCGCCCAGTATCTATCCCCGTACTTTGGAGTGTGGCTGCCTGTCATCACGGCGACGCAGAAGATTTAACCTTCGAACAGGTGTCGACTGTCAACCAGGACCATGCATCCTGCATGACATGTGTCAATTGAGAGACTCCATACATAGTAGTGAGTTACCTACGGAGCACTAACACAGGCGAAGCGCAGGGGGGAAGGGGGCCGATCCACCGTAGGCATGACAAGGCACGCAAGGCAGCAATACAGAATAATAATTACATCGAATGTCGATGCGGTGGTATTAGAGTGGCTTAACCTGACCGTTATATCTTAATCTTAACCTGGCCATAACCTGGCGGTTAGATTAAGATATAAAAAATTTTTAACTGTATAGTTAAGATTAGATTAAGATATAATTATTATTATAATTATTTATATTTATTAATTAAAAAAATCAGATATAATAAATAAATTAATAATTATAAATTAATTTATAATATATATATTTTTTTTATATAAATAATATATAAAATATAATATATATTTAATTATAATATAAATATAATAATATTTTTTAAATATAGTCTACTACTTAATCTACTTAATTAATTATTTTAAAAAATATATTATATTCTAAAAAAAACTTTTATAGAATCTAATATAAAAAAAATAAAAAAAAATATAGAATATTTATTTTTTATATTATTTAAAATAATAATTATAATAATATAGAAATTATAAAGATCAGATTTTTATTTTTATTTAAATATATATAATAATTAAAGACTTAAATAAGATTAATTTTTTTAATTTTAATAATAATTTATTTTTTAAATTATCTTTAAGATTATTTATATTTTTATTTTTATTAATATAAAAGATAGTAATTATCTTATTTTTTTTTATTTCTTAAATATAAAGATAATTAAATCTAAATTAAGATTATTAAATATATTTTAATATTTTTTATTTATAATAAAATAATTAATATATATTTAAAATATAATTATTTTAATTATATTAAAATTAAGATAACTTCAGTAATAATAATAAATATCTTAAAAATTATTAAAAAAATATTTAATATTAATATTATTAATTATAATTAAGAAAAAATCTCTTATTATTTAATAAAGAATAGAAAACTAATTATAATAAAATTTTTAATAAATAAAAATATTAATATATTTTATAATATCTGAAATTATATTAATTTAATTAAAAATATTTTAAAAAGCTATATATTTTTAATATCTAAATATATTTTAAATTCTTTATATATCTTAACTATAGATAAGAGTCTTTAATATTTAAAGATATTATAAAAAATTTTATCTAGATCTAATAATAATCTGAAGATTATTAATAATATATTAATTATTAAATTTTAATTAAAATAAAAAAAGAATATCTTCTTAAAAATAATTTAATATTTATAATATTAATTAATATTATTATTTAATTATATATTTTTTTTAAATTTCTTAAGCTTTAATATTAGATTTAGAATAATTATAATTATATAAATATAATTTTTTATTTAATAAATATAATAATAATATTTTTAGAATTTTGAATATATATTATATAAGTTCTTAAGAATCTTTTTTTTTAGAATATCTATTTTCTTTTTAGTCTATTAATTAAATAATTTAAATAATTAAAAACATTATTATAAATATTATAAATTTTATAAATAATAAGTCTACTGTTCTTAGAGAGACAGAAAATAAAAAAAAATATAAAAATTTAAGAAGATATTCTATCTGTTTTTATTTAATTATAATAAAATAAAAATAATTAATATTATTATACTTATAATACTGAATAAAACTTTTAATTATTTAATAGAGATTAAATATCTAATAAATTATAAAATAAATTAAATTTTAGTAAATTTTATAATTAAAAAGAAGATAATAAATTAAGCTAGATTTAAATTATTAAATAAATAAGAATTTTTTATAATATTAAAAGCTTATATTTATAAATTATATAATTTTTTAAATTTATAATTAAAAATTAATATAATAAACTAGCTAATAAAAGACTTCTAGAAATTTTTTATAAAAAAAAATTTTATATTAATCTTTTATAAACAGCTTCTAGAATATATCTTCTTAAAAATTCTTAAAATATTAAAAAAGATTTTAAAACTTTTATTATTATTTTTTTATATATATTTAATAATATTATTTAAAATCTTAATTTAAAGTTTTCGCAGAAGAGTATTAATTATAAACTAAATTATATAAATAAAATAAAAAATATAATATTAATTTTAAATAATTTTTAAAAAATTAGAATTAATTAGAATATTATAAAGCTAAGTATTTTAATTAAATTAAGTTTAAAATTTAACTAAGATTATATTAAATATTATATTATTATTACTAGTATTATTAGTTATTATATCTAATAATTAATAGATAAGATTATATTTATATAAGATTAATAAAATAATTATAGCTAGATTTTTATTAATATAAGATTTAAATATTAATTAAAAATTTAATAAAATCTTATAATAATTTATATCTTTTATTAAAAAATATCTAGTTAAATTAAAAAATATTTTTTAATTAAAATTAATTTAATAATTTATTATAATTAATATTTATTTAATATCTAGAAATTTTAATAACAGCTGTATATATATCTTTTCAGATAATTTTATAAAATATTCTTTAATTTATATTTAATTAAAAAAACTTAATTTTTAGCAGAAAGATAAAGTAGTAAAATTAATTATTTATTTAAATTAAATATATTTAATAATTTAAAATAATAAATAATAAATAATTATAAAATATAGAATTTAATTCTAAAAATTTTATTTATTATAGATTATAAAAATCTAGAAAAAAATAATAATTAAAAAAGATTTATTTTAAAAAAATAAATAAATATTTATAATAATTCTTTACTTAGTATCTGACTAATTATTTATTTAGATATAATTAATAATAATTTTTTCTTATAATTCTTATAAAAATAATAGTTTATAAAACTAATTTCTAAGTTTTTAATTTCTAAGTATTATAAAATATAAAAATATATAATATAATAAATATAAGAGATTTTATTAAAAAATAATATATCTTTTTAAAAGCTGTTCTATATTATTAATAATTCTTTTTAATTAAAATAAAATAATAATTTTTTAATTTATATATAATCTTTAAAAAAAATTATTTTTTATTATTAATTCTAAAAAATAAAGAGTTTTTTTTAAAAAGTTAAATATAAAATAATCTTCTAATTCTTTATAATATATATAATCTTAAAATTTAAAAGAGAAAAAAAAATCTGATTTAAAAAACTGATCTTAGTTTAAATATTATTATAATTTATAAAAATCTAAGAAATAAAAAAAAAAGACTTAATAATATTCTCTAAAAATAAATTAAATAATTATAATTAATTTATAATTTTAAAGCTGTTTTATAAATAATAAATATAAAAAAATAAAAATAAAAAATTTTATAAAAATAATTTATTTTATTTTAAAATATAATTTTATATAAATATAATTTATTATATTTTAATATACAGCTAAGATATCTATTATATTTTATTTATTTTAATAAATTTAATAAATAAAAATTTATATTTAGAGTTTAGAGTTATAGAATAATTTCTTTTTTTAAATAAAATTATTTAAAATATAATAAACTAGAATAAAAAATAGATATTTATAAAAAAAATTTATAAAAAACTTTTATAAAATTTTTTATAATCATAATATTAAGAATAAGAAGCTGAAGACTTATTATTAAGAAAAAAGATTTATTAAATGAAAAACATTATTCATTATTAATCTAACAATAAAAAATATTTAAATTAAAATAATAATTATAATATAAGCAAAGTAATAAGAACTAATTTGATACTATAAATAGTTTTAATTCTTAAAATCTAATCTATGATCTATCTAAAAAATGTGATAGGATCTACTTGTCAGGGTAGAAAGCCTGTTGACTAGGTAAGGAATCAATCATGAAACACTGTGTATTTGTTTAATAATAATAAAGATAGTCTATATTTATAAGATAGACTGATTCTTAAAGGATCAGTAGCTTCTTACAGAG